GACTAACAGATGTGATATCAGGTCAGGAATGTTCATTGATCACTACAATTTCAACTTATATCAAGATAGTTTGTAATCTGTCGACGTCAGGGAGATCTCATTAAACCCTCCCTATTCCTCCTGGTCTTGATTTGCCAATAAATTAACATAGCTAAAGTTTTAAAACAAGGCAAACTCTCAGAGATTTGAAAAAGGACGAGGAGTAGGAATTAAAAAAACAGGTAGAGAGTTACGTTTTCGGCCGTCGAGATCGTCGTGGGCATTGATATATTCATGTTGAATTAATCCGCTGATAATGAGTGCTGATAGACTTAAGTTTTACTTTCTTTTGCAATAGGGTATTGCCACTGATGTAAAAATGAACAGTACTTACTTTACAACAATTATGAAATAAGTTGTAGTAACTTAAAAGTAATCACGCTTGTTTGACCGGATGTTAGCGCGCAAGTGGTCTTACTGTGGGAGCAAACAGACCGGAGTACCAAGGAAAAACCCAAGTGGTCGGACAGGTGCCCCCACTTCCATATGACCCGGGAATCGAACCCCGAACGGCCAGGTAAAAGTCGAGTGCGTTACCACTGCACCATTCAACCACCCTGATGTGTTAATGGACTGAGCATTTTAAAGTCCTTTTTTGTTTAATGTTTTTATCCTTAAACTACATGTCACATCAAACCGCACCTTCTCCCATTCAGTCGGAGAATCGAAATAGGATTGTCTAGGATAAGACGAGTACGTTACCACTGAGCCCACCGACCACCGACGCAAGTACCATTGTAGGCACTAACATTTTTTGAATTATCGTCTTTTCCATCTTACTGAGGTACACGTGTTCCAGTTATATTTTGATGTACCCTGTCATTTATGAGACCCCTACCGGTGAAACCTAAGGATAAGGGTACTGTAGTTTCCCTGTGCTCTAGCTTCTTCATTGAGGGATTCTCAACAAACTTCGAAAACTTATTAAGCACTGAATTATCTTTCACAAGGTCGAGTTTCAGGGTCAAGGTCACTGTTACTGTTTTTAGAAAGTTCATAAAGCAATATAATGTACATGTATGGCTTCCACAATACTCACTGTGCTTGTTATAAATCATTTTGGTTGTGATTTAGTCTAGTTGTTGTGTTTTGATGCTAGTTTGTTTTGTTTTAATGACACAGAAAATTAAAATAGCCGACATGTTTTTTTCTTTTCTCCAACCCTGAATCAAAGTTTGACTGCAGAAAATGATAAAAGATTGGATTGGCTGACACACTTCCCATCAGGATGTTTAGAGCGACCGAGGTTTCTAATAGAAATGATAATTCATCCGACCATTTTCTTCACGAAATTCGTTGTCTATGAAATACCATCACAACGGGGCAGTCTGGAATTTACACTTGGGTTGATTTAGATCTTTCCCGTTCCTGAAGTTGCTGCATTTCTTGTAAGCCGCTCAAGGCACCAAACGGCGCTGTAGTTATACATACAATAAAGCATCTTGGCGGCGTGCTTGAACCGGAACTCATTCAAATGACGGCTTCCGGCCGTTTTTATTGCAGACAGTTTGCTCTGTTTCATTACATGGTGCGGAGTAACACTTTCGCGACTCACATCCGGTTAAGTCTGCCAAACGAAATACTTAAATGTTCTATATGGAGTCCCTTACATTAATGTTTGTCATTAACCTCTAGCATTCCATTAGTGGACTGGGTCGAAGGCAACAACACATCAACTCGCGTTTGATGTATGTATACAGAATGCAAAACTATTCTGTAGGCGTTCAACTCTTGGGGATTTTGTACAAACTAATACAACAGTTATTTTTTACCATTAAATCTAAATGTATATTGAGAGCTTTTCTGAATACAAATATCACACCATGCAACATAGGAAGACAGTTACCGGAACTTCTCATCCACCATCAACATCGTATACGACTGGCGAAGCATTGGGGCCATATTCAGACTAATGATCAACTTATATGGTTTGCTCGGCACATATGCATGTTTCTTATGTAATTAAACCAGTTTTGCAGGCCTACTTCCTTCATGAAACTACAACCATGTGACTTTGTAACGGTAAGATTGCATGTCTAAATCGGTATAGTTTTGAATCTTTGTTTCACTTTTTTTTTTTACATTTTCTACAATTGTAATTTTCAATTCGCAACACGTATTCAACGACCTAAAATTTAGATAGATTTGTTTTCGAACAATTTAAAGATTTAATCTTTTGAGAATAGAAAAGGAGAGAACGAAATGAAAGTTTTTATTACCTCATACTAAAACAGCGTTTGTGATTTAGATTTGTGAAAACCATTGTCTACGGTACATCATTGTTATGTAAATCAAGACGATCTGATATCACTCTCTTGTTTACTGCATACAATCATATATAGCAAGGGTGATGTGACTCTTAGTAAACCATTGTATCAGAAAAAAATACCCATACATTGCAATTTGATAGGGTTTGGCTCAAGAGGGATAACGAAGGTCGCCGAAATGAGAAGCCCAAATTAGGTGTCGATCTGGGCTCTCTATTTAATGAGTTCGCGATAGCAGGGATCATAGTTACAGATATACCTCTATGTGTTATCAAGCGCGATCAGACGTTACGGCACCTACGTTGTCAGTCTAAGAGAAAATCAAATTGCGTAACTCAAGATTTCTTAATGCTTAATCTCCATACTGTCAAGAATTCACATCAAACCTATCAATAATATAAAATTCACCGGTCGGGTTACAGCTCTCAATATCAAACAGTACAAAATAACAAAGTATATTTTCAGTTTTTCGAGTACCGAGGGAATTTCTCTAAATTGAAAAGGAGCTTTGTTGTCCTCAGAAATTTAATGTTCTGAACGTATGTTGCAATTTAAAACGTAGTCGATAGATAAACACCGGACTGACAAGACATTCCTATAATGAAAAACCTTGAGACATGAAAAACCCTGGCGGAAGCATTAACGGTTGTTCAGAAATATTGGTAAGTTTAAACGTGAATGCAATATATCTTTAAAAGAAGCGTGTAAAGACTTTTGAAGTTCCACAATTGGTAAAAAAAATTCGATAAAACAAACTAATATTTAAGAAACACCTACTGTAAAACTTCTTCTTTTGAAAGAGAAACCTTAGAGAAGGGCCTTAACAGTTAAAGGAATATCTGCTTGTAGTTAAGCTTTCATACCTGACAAAAGGTTTAGAAGCAATACTTATACAACAACGATGAACCTTTCCCCTTTTTAAACATTAAGTGGAAAGCTGCAGATACATATATTTCTGTAATTTGAAATGTATTAATATGTCAAAGTATTATAGAAATGGCGATTATAACTTGCAATAGCTTGTGCGCACTCCATTTGTAATACTTTGCAACAAAATGCCTTTAAACTAACTACATTACTTGTTAAAACGACAAAAAAGAGTTCTAACATTTTGGGAATCATTATCACTGAACGCAACTCCGGTTGTTTGAAAAAAGATTAAACAGCAATGAAGCGAATCAACTCTTAGTAAAATACTGATCTAAAAATTAAACCCTTAAAAAAACTTCAACATGCGAAAGAAAAACTTTCGTTCAAAATGCCATAACACTTGAAAGAGACATTACAATGGGACAAAGCCTGCCTCAGTATAACATCGACAATTGGGCAGCTAACAGCAATATAATTAGGTTTGCTCGTGTAGTATTTCATATATAGAACCGTCTTTCATATATAGAACACAGAAAATACCATGCCATCATGTTTAGTGTTTTTGTGTTTTGCATTATCTGAAGTTTCATATTTGCACAAACGAACATCCGCTTAGCTGGTAATTGCTCTTGGAACCTATGGGTCTCCTCTTTTTTACTGTAGAAATTCACGTCTGCTCCAATTAAACTTGTCACATACTGCCTTTACGTCTGTATTACAATGGATCCTCTTTTGACCTCTTTTGACCTCTTGTCGGATCTGGTCAGCGGGACCGCCGCACGTAAAAGCAACTAGTACAAATAGACGGAAATTAAATGGAATTGCTTGCACCATAAACATCCCTCAAGACCATGTCTGCCGTCTCCTTGGTATCTAATTCAGTACTATATATATAAGAAGCAATATTGATTCAACAAGCAATCCATCATTGTTTTAACGCCCTTGGCGGGGCTTCAATTCAGGGTCAGGGACTGTTTCACGAAACTACTATTTACCGTCACGTTTGTCCATGTAATTTTAGATGGATTGTAATCGGGTTGTCACGGACCTAATCAGGCTTATCACCATGGCCATTCGCGATGTCTATGTCGCTGTCCTATGTTTATTTAATTTGACCAGTTACGTCACGTGATGTCGAGTTTTTTTCCTGCGATAGACGCTAAGGACGCACAAACAATAACACGGATGATCTTGTATATAATTTGCAACATCTTCATCTATCGATCATTTTTCAGTAGACTTCAATCTTCAAGGACTTTTGCCGTACATTGGACGTCTGTTTAGCAGACCAGTTTATCAGGCCTAATATAATTGATAACTTGTTTTGAAAATTTAATCTATTTTTGATTTATATTTCTTAAACAGCCTATACAAAATACACAGCGAAGCGAAAATAATATATCATGTTTTATAGGGAAAAATGTTCATTACGGTTTCTTATTTTTTTGTTATGACGTCACCGTTGCTATGGTTTTACCTACCAAACAAAGTACAACCTTAATACAGGATTTCAATCATGTATTAATCAATAAAATGGATCTTCGTGTTTATTGCATGATGAAATACAGGTGTAATTTAAACAACGAGGTAAATGAGCATGTGCACTAAGTGACCAGACCAAACCCTAGAAGAAAAGTTTTAATTATCTAGGACCCAATGTCATTTCAATACAGTTCAATAAAACAGATATTCCCGAAGGATCTCCGCGTAGTTTCATCTCTTGGAACAAATTGGTACAAATGTGCTTTTATTTCTATCGTGGTTTATTAGTCCGAGGTAATGTTGATGCTTTCATCCCCGTAAGTTTAATAAACTACATTTTTTTTACACTTGTAGTTCCAGTAGAATACTGACTTTCACTTTATTGTTCTTTTTGTTCTAAATAAAAAAGAAATAGAAAACAGGAACCCTCTATCTATTATTTCTCAGAGGAAATCAGTATTTCATTACAGTTAGTAATAGATACGCAGATATATCAGATGACACGTTTTATGAGGCAATATCAAGGCTACCTACCCACATCACCATGTTTGATTATATTTGCATGCATTCTTTGTTTCCAATAACAATTGTTTGCAAGTAAATGCTATACATTGGAATCAAATTACATTTTTATTATAACAGCTGATGCTTCAATTTGTAGACAATGAGAGTCGTAAGTACACAATGAATTAGGAATACGTCACATTGAGCGATAACAGGCGGACTTTTCGAATGGTGCGATTACATTAAGACGGGGGTTTTTCAGGTGACGTGAAATAAGGCAGTCTTTTTGGAAACAGATATATCAGAACGCTATACAAATAGGGTATTGCACCTGGAATAGTAAATCTTCACAAAAACCGGATATTTCGCTAGGCGCATCATCAAGAGATCAAATCGAAAGCTTACAAAGCGTACTTCAAAGCCTAGTAGTAATTTTCTACGTTTTCTATTCCATTCCTTTTGACTATATTTATAGTGTGGGTGTAAAATAATTCTTTTTCCAATCCAATTCATATTTCGATTGAGCATCGGATTTTTCGATGATGTCATATACAGCTGCTTAAAAAATCTATTAGTAAATTCTTGGATAAATCTGCTCTAAAGTTCCAGTGATTTATTGAAAATGTCTCTTTACGAATTACTTTCTGAAGGTTCATGTAATATATCTGTTTTTTACGCTGTTAATGATGGAACTTTGTCAGATGCATGGCAACTGGTTCCTGTCAAATGTATTTTCCTAATGACTTTTCGGTTAGTGATAGTGGAAGTCGTTTCTCGTTATCAATAATCGTTTGCTGCATTTAAGTTAACTCTGCTCGAGCTTGTCAGTATAATACATTTCTAGGTATTTTCATGAGTCATGTATCATCGCTGTACGATGCGTCCTGTCCAGTAATATATAAAGCTGTCTTGTCAAGCATATTCATCATTCTCTACTTCGAAACAAGGTTTTGTCAAAACTTCTTGGAATAGACGACAAATTCTCCTTTATTTTGAACACATGTGGATTTATCCTGTCAAACATATTTTAAACAGAGGGCAAATATTAATAAAAACCATTTGCTAACATTAATGTTTTGTTCCTTTCCAGGCTGTTATTCAAGCTGTATTAATATCTTATATCTCGTAAATCCGATGGACGATATGGCGACAAACTAAGCATTTATTTCATTTTGCTTTCAATGGTTACCTATCTGTATGCACTGACACATATTAAAGTGGAATCCAACCCATTCGGTCGTGACTGAGATGTCTGGGAATGGACATTTAGATAAAACACTGGTTATTATGTCTGTTTTATCTCTAGTAGTACAGTCGACATAAGACACAGCTAAAAATATAATAGGATTGGTCAATGCTTCCATGTCTATCAATGTGTTAATATCACAGGATAGATGCAAACATTGTCGTCAACCACCTCCCTGTCGCTGGATGTCAAACACACACCAATATTACATTTGGTATTGAAAACATGCCGCTGAAATAGACATTAAAACTCTTTAGCAAGTACTGTTCTCAACCCTCTATTCCAACCCCCAAATATTCTTATAGTCAAGAAAAATCTCTTATTTTTAACATTGCTGTGTGCAGTTGCTGAAAAATTGACTTACCACTGAATTGCCACAAAATGACTGGGGATTGGTAGCTATTTTGATATATGGAATGGAGTTTCTATAGTACCGAATCAAGTTTCATTATTATAAATATTTTTTTATATAATTTTTGTAATACGAATAAATTCGAAAAAAGAATAAAAATATTTAAGTGTAACTACAAGTAGCTGGTCCAACATTGTAAACATACACTGCTGTGCACATTTAAACAGTAATAACTGAAATACGACGTAATTTTCAGGAAGACAAGCTTTATTACAACATTCATTTTACAAATACGAGGATAATGTTTCTGAAATGATGCCGGTTCCAATTATTTTACATCCTAAATCATCAGTTGTATTTGATTCTGACTACATAAATTAAGTAGTGTGTCATGGCGTCATTTAATCCGTGACGTTTTAATTTGATGAAATAATATACGGGATATTGTTTCGTGAATATCATCCCTCCAACAAGCATGTTGCAGTTTATTTTATTATAAGATATTACGCACAATCTATGTTGAGAGGAAAATCGTAGTGTATAACAATGTATTTTATAAAAGGATGATTTACCGGTAATTTGTGTGAATGCTCTGTCATTCACACATGACGTCCACGGTATAATTGTACGATATCTATGTTTCTAATATAATAAACAAAAGCAGGAATCCGGAATTTATTTTCTATATTTCTGACTGTTATTGGTGTTAGTTAATATATTATACTAATTACAGAAAATTCATATTAATTAAACTCTTTCCTAAAGAAATTAGACAAATAAATTAATTATAGTACACCTTTTAACATTCTGACAAATATGCTAATTTCCTTAATGAAATGTGTCATATAAAATACAGAAGGATGAAATGATTTCTGTGTGTAATAAATTTTACACTTAAGTGTACACTATCATATTCTGAAACCAGTAAACTGTGTAGCTCGGAATTCCGCTGATATAGACACGCTGGGGTATTGGTCGCTGACTCGAACCCAAACCCTGTCGCCTTCCTGCAATTCTACAACAGTCAAACTACTCCCTGAAACACTGACGTCTCCGATATTTTCACCTCCTGAAAACGCTGTGGCGACAACATTACCATTTTTTACAAGATCAGTACACAGGTATTGTTGAGAAACGCGTACTGTCCATCCAAACACATAAATTCCATTTACAGGGCACGTGAATTGACTTGAAATCGGGTTAAAAGCACCACCAATGTTTGTAATAACATCATCAAATTGAATCACAGAGAATCTCAGGGTGTTGCCTTTTTCTTTCGTGTGAACTGCGTGGAATGCAAATGTATCGTTATCATAACGTAGCGAAAATTCGTCATCCTCTTTTCCTACAGAAAAACGTCTGGTGTAATTTCCTGAAACCGCTGAACTGCTCTTCCCTGGTAGCAAATATTTTTTTCTTGTCAAACCTACTGGGCCTGTAAATGATTTTTGCTGTCTTCGAGCTCTCTGTAGATGTTCGAGGACATCCAGGCGTTGGATATTTATTTCTTGCTGTTTTGTAAGCTGAACAATACGACGTTGAACAAAATAATCTTGATTTTCTAAATCAGCAATGGCATATTTTGTTGTTATGCGACGTTTCTTGAGCTCTGCTATACTTAACTGATTCTCCTTTAGATATTTCCGTAAAATAGATAATTGGTGTTTTTCACCTTTTAAGTATTTTTCTGTAACAGAAATACGCCTCTCGTCATCTTGTCTTTGTTTTGAAATGTCAGAAACACGACGATTTAATTTATCATATTTTTCGATAACACTTATTCGCTCTTCATCCCGCTTCTGCTGTTCTTCAAATTTAACAAATTTCTCTTGGTATAGATTAATTTGTTTTTCCAAATTCGATAATCGTCGTTGTTCATTTTGACGCATACTCACTAGTTCGGATATCCGATACTGATCGACTAGGCGTAAACTGGTTAATTCCGCTATCTTATCCAGATCAGATGTCCGCCTTTTAACAAATTCCTCCAATGCTTGTTTATCAGTTGCTCGTTGTTCCCTCAGCGCAATGATATCTCGGCGATCTGTTTGTTGTTTATTTTCAAGATCAGCTAGTCGACGTTGGCTAAGTAACTGGTTTTTATCCTGATCGTCAATTCGGAGTTGTTCCTTATTTACTAGATTTTCAAGCTCATTCAATCTTTTTTCCTCAGTACTATGAAGATTTTTGAGATTATCAAAAATATTTTTGAAATCCTTCATAGATTTTTCTATGTCTTTAAACCAGTTTTCCATCGACTTTAGTCGGCGATGAAGATCTAGAAGATGCCTTGAAGCTCCAGGCAAGACATCATTATTCTGTGAGATCTGAGCGGAGATCTGATGGTAAAGGATTACTGTTAATAAAAACCAAAACATATCCCTCCTTGAAGTCAGTTGTCCTTGCTTGATATTAGCTAAACTCTATAACAGCTGCACCGTCAAAGTACGCTGTGTTGATAGACGTTCTCGACGCAGCCAACGAAAGTGCACATGTTCAGCTGTTGAAGAAGGATGGCGACGTAAAATAGACTGATGGATGGAGTCACAACCATTGTTTAATTTTGACAAAGATTCATAGCAAATGTTCAAATATGAATTAGTATGCATGAGTTAAAACGACTAAAATAGCATGGCTATATTTCTCAACATATTCTATAAGCATTGTAGACAGTATACTTCATGTTAGGCGTGGTAAGACTGTTTTGTAGAACAACTGGCGGCTCCAAAACATACATACATGCATACATACATACATACATACATACATACATACATACATACATACATACATAATTTGAGAAGATTTATTAACATTACTTAACATAGTTTTATAAACTGAAAACGATCGCTAGATTTCTTGTGTACATGGCGTGTTTAGCATCAATGTTTTCTAATCCCCTGATTATTTGACTTGTTTCCTAGACGCAAATGGACAGTGAAGAAGAACGTCTTAAAACCAGTTTGCATATAAAAATAGTTGCATGAAAAACGAAGTGCAAAATAAAGTTTTTGCGTCTCAAATTGCGTCTTTTTTGCAGTTATAGTTTTATTGTTTTATTGCAGACCTCTTCAAGGCTTAATTCTGCTTCATTAGGTTAAATCTATACAACATGCTCTCAATATCTTCAACTCAAAAAAGGGAACACTTCATGATGTTAAATCTGCATACTTAAAACATTCGACAAAAAACATTAAGAAACATGTATCGAAATGTCACTTTCTGAATGTTTCAGTATAAGATACTGCCAATATAAATAGCACTGGATTATTTTGGGTGATGTTATCTATATATTATATCTGACACATGCCTTTTTGGCGCCGATTAAAGATAAATTAGTATATAATAAAGATCGAAGAATACATAGGCAAACATATAAAAGCATCTGGTTTTTGTTCTCTATCGACCGATATTCGTTATTTCTAGTATGCATTCTGGTCAATCATTTTCTGCTTGAATATTATTTTATTTTGTATAACCATACGTTTTTATAAACATTTCACGCACGACATCTACATAACAAAATCCAGTGCACATCTGAGTAACAGTAAATTCTATCTAAGGACGTGGTATAAAAACATGGTTGAGATCTATACTGAAGCGTTTTTCGTAGAAATAAGGAGGAGGAAACAACAGAAATGATATAGTTTCTGGTTGACAACATCTTGGTCGAGTTTAATGGTAAGATCTTCCAACAGACTACTGACATGCTCATGGGAACTATGTTCGCCCCTCTGTTGGCTGACTTGTTTATATTTACATGCGAGGCTGAATTTATTGAAGAGCCTATAAAACAAGTCACAGAGACCTTGCGAAGTTGTTAAATTACGTTTTGTCTTTGAATAACGAGAAATTTATTGACCACATCCATCCTATATAGCATCGGAATTGGAAATCAAAGAGAGTACAGACTCCTCTACATCAGCTGATGATCTATATCATTTCCTACAACGAAACATAGACGGACAAGCTTTCCACCAAGCTGTATGAAAAACGTGATGATCTTAATTTTCCTATTGTGTGTTTTCCTTTTGTGGATAGCAATTACTCCTGCATCTACAAAATATGATGTTTACATGTCGCTGTTGATGCAATGTTCAAGGGCCTGTTCCCATTATCACGATTTTCGTGCAAAAAAGTCGTCAAGTAACGGGAAAACTTCTAACACAGGGTTTCGAAAGATGCAGGTTGACGAAAATTATGGGGAAGATTTAGCCGTCACAATGACTTCATTAAGAAGCATTCTATTACTTTGTGCGATATGAAGCTTGACGTGTTTTGACGCTCGTTAGTCTGTCTGTTCGTTCTGTTGTGTATCTGGCATTACATACTTGGATTGACCAAGGTTTAGATGGCGGGTGTCTTCGATGAAGACTCTTACTCTTTCGGTACACATGGTCTTATTCTCCTTGTACTTTTTCAGGATTCTCCATGTAAATGTTATCATAAGTTGTTTCTTAGTTCATTTTCTGAACCTTGTTGTACTGTACTTCATTGCAAATATTGTATTGGAAATATTGATTATCTCCGCAGGTTTATCTTGTGTTATGTATTGAGATTTATCAACTTGTATGTGATATGGCTACTTGGATAAACACATATTAAAGGTCAACATTTCCCCCAATCCATGCCTTAACCTATTTAACCGAATTTAATGCTAAAGAATAGATACGATATTGAAAAACACATCATGTTGTTGACAAGTTGTTATCGCACTATTACAGAATACTAAAACTAATCGTTGACAAACCAAAATGTGTTAAATACATTTTTCCTTAGGACAGTGAACTTAGTGTTCCGCATGTCTATCAGATTTTAGCCGAATAATTGCTTTCTGTTTGATAGGTTTTAAAGAACGAGCAATTACACACGTTCACGAAGTTCAACAAAAATACCAGCAATGATGAATGTATGAGTAACCACATCAATACAGACATGGAGGACTACGTCAAAGAATGGTTAACAGACAAGACGACCGAAAGGAAATGATGGCAAGCCTTTATAATTCATTTCTTTCGAAATGAAAAAAAAAAAAAAAAAAACATTAATATGACGTTGCTAGGTGACTTTTTCTGTGTTTTCATGTTTTCACCATGCTTCATTGATTTATCAGAACACCAAACGTTTTTGTTAATTAATTTAATGGATATGTTACCGTATAGCTGTTATTTTTCACGGGTCATAATTTTTGCAATTTTCTTTTCAAACGATCGATTGATATTTCGACGAATAAAAAATTTCGCGATCTCGATGTAAAAAAGGACATCTATACACAGGTGTCTCATTATTTTATGGATCATATTTTCGCGACCATGTTAATGTACTCGAAAAACAGCGAAATATCCTCCTCGAAAAAATAAACGGCTATATGGTTTATTGAAAATGAAAGCAAGTATATAACCCAAAAGTACAATTTTGTATTATGCATAACATATACAAGTGAAAAGCAGCTTACAATATAAATTTAAAATAAAATACAGAATAGCCGATTTATCTGTTAAACTCTATCATACAGTTTTCTGTTTATCCTGAGATAGGTCAGCGAGGTTTGGGACATAAAATAAGAAAGAATAACTTAACAACCTCTCTCCAATCTTTTATTTTCTGAATGAAAATTTCTAATATTCAAATTACCCTTCAAAACAGTTGACATGAAACGGCTTTGATTTTTTCCTCTTTTCGATTTTTCAAAATATTCCTAAAATGGGCACATTCCTTTTTTTGGAACATAAACTAGAATTTGGCATTAACCATGTGTGATGAAATCGTAAGAAATCAAACGTAATGCTATTATCAAAATATGCCCTCTGTGTATGACAGCATGAAACTTAAGTAAAACAGTTTTATTACGATATGTATTATGCTTTAAATCATAAGCTGTATATCGTGTGGAAATGATTTGAAAAGTCCCGGAGGAGTCATAGGTAAGTAACGTTATGGCGTGTAAAGATCGTTTGTCTACATATACTTAAGGAAACTGCATTATGGTGAAATGTTATTGTTCCCTTGAGCTTTCAGGCTGTTCAGATAATATCACACAAAGTGTGAAATATAATCCTTTTATATTAAAATAAGAACGACTTCCACCAATCGATTTCGAGTGAAGTTTCATGTGTTTTATACCCCCTGAAATCATTGTTTCTTATGCACACATTTTTCCCTTGAGAGGATTGAATGACATTAAAGAATATGCTGGCTGGTTGAAAGCTGTTTTACTTTCCTCAGAAAAAAATCCTTATTTCAGTGTTGTTCAACACTGTAGAATCGCTCAAGGCTGATTGGAAATATATACAAGGTATGATTAAAAAGAAGACAGGTAATAGCGACATCGTTTCAGGATTTATTACACCAACAGAAATCAACGCAATTAAGGGAATTGTCTAGGAGCGGCACCATAATAATTAACATGGATTTTCACCGTTTTGTTTTCCTTTCAGGCTTATGATGATTTTGGAGTGTTTATTTACCCTAAAATCTAACACAAATGAATAAGCAAGTTTTAAAATTTAAAACGTAAGTTAAGGAATATTAACCATTGCACATCCAATCAACATATCAAACTTGAAATGTTAATAGATTGCGTCTTTAGGAGATGGCTTTAAGATACGCTGAATATCGAGTGAATGGAGCGGAGTCATCTGGATTAAAAACATACTTCATTACTGACTAAAGGAAAGTTTATATTAGAGACTGTTTATATGTACTAGCGTTAAACGACTCTATTGCGACGTTCAGACATACAAACATTTGATGAGTATGTAGTCATTACTTACTGCTGAAGTGATTGAGACCACATATTTATTGTTTTATCTCAAAAACTAAATCAACTCGACAGCCATTAATTTTCATTTCAAAGCACTTTACTTTTAAGAAAAGTGTCTTTTAAATCTCCCGTAGGGACATGACGTTAGAGAGGATCATATATCAGACGGTACTTAATGTTATTCCGCAGTTTTATGACTCATCTGTAGCACGCTTGTCAAGACTCTCAGTGTGACATTTTATGACAATTGTCAGAACACGAAACACACTACAACAAAACCTCCTGTATGTTTACATAAACACAAGATGTCGAAGCAAAACTGTAGTCGCTTCAAGGCTTTCCGTGAACAATTATGTATGATTATGCATCATGTTTTGGTGTATTTTCTTCTAAAACTGTTTAGCAAGCTCAGGACTTAAAGTTTGGATAACCTAGGTTACAAGAGAAGATAAATTAGCTCAAGAACAAAATAAAGTTGATCATTTAATAAATGGAAAATAAGTAATTTTAAATTGATATCAGTTGTAACCAATGTAATTACACTAATTGATATCTCGATTTTCTAATTTGGAAGAT